TACTCATAAATGGCTTTGGGTCCGAGTATTTTCCTCCCATGCAATCACTCTGGTGCTTTTACTATTATTTATATTTCAAGAGCGCGCATGCAATAATCGAAATAATAAATTTACGTTACAAAAAAATTGAATTATTGTTACGTTGTTTGACGTTTTTAATTGCAATCGTGTTAAAGTAATCGACGCGCAACGAATGCGTTCGAGTAGTTGTTATCAATAAGGAACGATTTTTCGTTGACAGGTCACTCAATCAATGGAGACGTTAGTGGGAAGCTTTTACGTTAAATTTATTTCCTTACACTTCTTCAAGTTTTCGTTTTTTTCTTGGTTCATCATGAGTTGGTGGTAGTGCTCGTTTATTAGTTATAATTTTTCTTTCCTCTTGGTAAATTTCATAAGTGATTTTTTCTTTATCTAGATATTCCTGGAGAGTTTGGGTATTATTGATTTTAAAAACATATTTATGCTTTATTATTGGTCAACAGTCGCGGACTCTCACGCTCCTTATTGCAAGACAACAATTGACACGCCAACACGCGTCTACTCATACATACATACATACATACATACATACACTCCCTGGACTAAAGTATCCGATGGGAGTTTTTTCAAGTTTATGCAACATCCAGTATAACAATTATAAACCATTTTTATATCATTTTGTACCTCGGCTTTTCGCAAATCTGCATGCCAAATTTGATGTGTTTAGCATTCTTGATCAATGAATTATTATGCAGTTTTCAAAATTATAGAAATTCCTGATCTACATACAGTGAGTGCGCGACCATTTCGATCATGATTACTCAAATAAAACCGAGACAATATACTACCGCTTTATGTTACGTTTGCCAACTCTGTTTATTATGTAAAACTGATAACACTTTTGAGACTTGTGCTTGTGAAAAAGGAAAAGGCCAACAAAAAACGAAACGAAAGTTACAAATTATGGCCGTATTATTACTACAAAGCAAAACCATGCACAAATCCAATTCTTGAAGGAGAAGAGTAAGTTGTTCAGTTATAATTCTAACTTCAGGGAGAAGTTCAATGCTTCCTTTTGTTCCAAGTACCACAGCCAATTTGTATGTATTGCAAAAGTACCATTCTCAAACTCTCACGAAATAATAATAATGGTGCATCATTAACTACACCACCCATAAGTCCGCCTCAATTTGTATCAGATATTGATTCTGTGTCTGATGCCTTAGAGTTCCAAGCAAAACTTAGTATTAAGTATGAAGATGGGAAGACTATACCAGCAAAATGGGTGACATTTTCAATGGTCGCGTTTGATGATTTAATGTCAAAGATCACTCATCAAGTGCATATTTTATTGGATGATGAAACAATTCAAAGACATAATTATACTATTAATAAGTGAACATAATGAATTGGAAAGTATGGAAAGGATTGCTCATACCATTGAGTTACTGACAAGTCAGCAGGCAGATCAGCAATTGAAGGAAAATGAATGGTGCTGAATTGCATATGTTAGGTTTGGATACCAGACTAGAACATGGGACAGCCAGTAATGATGGCTGCTGTCCCTGACTTTGTGTTTTAGACAAAGTTCAATGTTCACTTATTACATCCAAAGAATGGTACTGTTCATGAAACAATGTTCAATGATGATAATTTAGACAATAGTGATGAAGAGGATACAGAAGAGAATTGTGAAGATGAAATGGAAGAAGACAATGGAAAGATTCACAGTAATGAAGGATTATAAGCCTATATTAATATTAATATTAATATGATGAATGTAGATTTAGTGATTTAGTAAAAAGATTTCAGGCTGGATATTATTCCTCAATTATGAAGGTGGTGACTTTGTAGAATGCCCGGCAGATCCCAAACCAATGCCAGCATCTTGTCAATCGTGGGTCCTAAGTAGTGGTACTAACGTCGGAGCATACCTGCCATTTGTTGAACGAGTCGGGACCAAATTTATACACTTTCCAGGATAATAATTGTCCAATTCATAGATCGGGCTGTGCATCGTCGCTTAACTATTATAATTGCTATTTTGATGAGACTAATGTTAGGGACTAGTCAGTTCTTAACTTCCATAAAAGTTGGATCGATTCACACAGCAAGACTCCTGAACAACTATAAAATTCAACTTCTTCACTTGCATGGCCCGTTCAGAGCTTAACCCAATCGAGCATGTTTGGGATTACTTAGAAAGAACAGTTTGCAAAAAACCAAATAAGCAGACGGTTGGGGATTTAAGAACGTTTCGAAAACACAAAAATAAGTTGCAAATCGACAATCTCCACAACAAACTGACATGGAAGTGTCGAAGTTATGCGTTGATGAAATTTCGGGATTGCGGTAGTGTGGGCGAGGGACATTCTAATAATGAACTGTACGATGTGCGGTAGTGTGGGCGGGGGGAGAATAATAACCTGCACCAGCGGGGGAGAGGATATTGATCTCGGATGGCTTTGAAGGAAGAGTAGGTAAAAATAGATACTAGTTACTTAGGTTTATGTTATCGAGGTCGAGTTTTTTACTACCAGATAATGAATTAGATATATTCTTGCGTTTATTCTTAATAGAAGGACCGGCAGTGCAGTGGTTTTCGAATCAAGAATTAAGATTTTGGTAACACTTCTTTTTATATTACAGCTTTATCGAGGTTTATAATAAATTATATATTTTTAGTACAAAGAATTCGGGGCGGAAATCTTAGTGCTTTTATGATAAAGAGGTAGAGGTTGTGACTATATAGAGGTTTTTTCTATGAGTTTAATAATAAGCTGTGCTTATATTAATATATGAGTATCCGAAATTAACGCGAAAGACTAAAAGATGATGCTACTCAGTTGGAAAATAAAACCACCTTTGCAGGGTGGGCCAATTTATACCATCAATAATAATAACAATGTTATATTGTTGAAAGCAAGACTGAATACATAATGTTAGCCAAACAATGTCCTAGACTTCGGGCAGGGTCACGGTCGGCTCACATGGTCAGGAAAAAACGTTATCCAAGTTAATTGGCACGGCCAATGTGGTATATGGTATATTAATATGCTTAAAAACAATGCGGTAATACATGATTAATTTCTAGAGTAGTAATATTAACTGCAAACTTCTCTATATCAATACGACTAAATTTATTTTAGCGAGACACGTTCAAGGAGGGCACCATGATATCTTTGATTAATTACATTTGCTCGATAATAAGTATAACAGCCCAGATAATTTCCATTCATCAAAACTAATGGGTGGACGGAAAATAGTTAGCCTGCTTGTCAAAAAGACTGGCAAATGCTGGCAAGAGTTTTCCACAATCTAGGAAAAGCGCAAAGCTTCTGATTATAAAGATTTTCAAGAATTCTATTGTTGAACGTGAGGATGCTCGTGTTGTGTTCTATATTATTCCGTTATCGTTCCGTCTTTATATTACAAACCAGAGATGACACTGATGATAGCAGCCAATATTGTTAAAGTCAAGCCACCCCTTATGACATTGGCATCGGCTGAAAGTACATTAACTATAACCACATCAGCACAACCATATTGAGTTACGCCACCATCCGACGACTTGTATACTGCTTGGAGTACGCCAACACTGCCTTCGGTGATATTTGCTTTCCAACATGAAATCGGGATCAGGATTTTTTTGTCTTGGTTGTTGGTCGTTTTCACATATGGTGCTACTGATTTTGATAGAAATATGAACGTTAGTGGAATTGGGAGGGTATAGCAATGCATCGCGATGGTCGTTGTGATCACGGAATGCTTTTTACCTGAAATATTAACGAATGGTCCAGCTGCAGTTGGCGCAAAAAAGACGGTCATTGTACCGGCTATTGCAATTCTAATTTTGACGGTATCATCTACATGATGGATTATGATGACGGATCAGTAAATATATCCAAATCCCAATATCCTATTTTCCCAACCCTTTTTTCAAGGAACGTACTCAATGCAAGCTGTTTCGGCTCTCCGACAGTGTCAACTCCACCACATGGAGCCTGCCCGACTGAGTGTTCCTCAGAGCCTCGTCCTAACGGGTGTTTGATGTCAAAATACGCAAAAGCGAGGGAAATGAAGAGACTGAAGATGATGAGAATTTTAAAGTATTTCATAAGGAATGTGTTGATTATATCAGGGGATGTTGAATGCTCTGGTGTATTGAGTGTGTATTAATGATACGATTACGCTTGTTACTTATGCGCAAGCGCATTGAATCAAAAGCAGAAATAGGTGTTTCCATATTACGAATAATGACCAATCTATATATATAGGCGACAAAGAATTTTTCTGGGGTAACTAATAATTTTGCTAGCGCACACACAATTAATGACTTGGGTTGCTAGTGGAACAATCTCATTGTATACTATTAAAAATCTCCGATAGATTTAGTGGTGGTTTGGTTTACTAGTTGCTTTGTTCTCGATTCTTCTTTGTAGAGCGGTTTTTACGTTATTTACTGGAACGAATGCAGATTATAGCCTAATTTAATTGCATGCATTAATTTTTGAGTGATGTCATTTGTATTTACATTTCTTTTAGCAGACATTAATATCGTAAATGATTGCCTTGGCATGATTTTCAGTGATGATAGTGTCAACGCCCAAAATCAACAATAATTTGAAACATATAAACAGAGAAGCCTGCATTTTGTTACTAGTAAGTTGTTGCAGAAGAATCCTTACAAGGCGAGAACTGAAGTCGTATATTGACAGTACGATCTTGAAATTGGAACGATGTACTAAATTGTGTAGGCAGAATATTACTTATTTCGTATAAACAATAAGGATTCTGTAGCAGTCGAACGAAAGATGAGACAAACGGTCAAATGATTGATTAGTATTAGACGTTATTATTGAAGATTAGTTAAAAGCAATCAGACATCTTTTGGCCGTGACTGGAACTGAACAGCGTATATCACCTTCGGGATTATAATCGAAAAACGAACTGTACTACATCTTTTATAAAAATCTAAGCCAACGAGTCACAATCATTAAACCAACAAGTACTGCCCTCATATAATAAAGCCTGAAAGGCAACGTTAATTCATACGGATAGGGCTTGTATTGATGCGTGGTCACTCCCGTCGTTTGAATACTTTTTATCCTAATTAGAAAACTTCGAAATCAGATTGAACCGGTAAAACGACCATATAGAACTTCCGACGATGCTAGTTATCATTGGAATCCATGATGTACTTTAGGTATAGTATACATGACATCTCGCATCCATAATTTTAATAAACAACTCGGAACATTAGAACTTTAGTAAGTGAGGGAATTGACCCTTAGAGAGCGAAAATCTAGAGCGCAGATAGTCTCCGAGATGAGGAACTTTTGCTACAGCCTCGAGAATTGCTTTATCGACATCCTTTTGTTTAGCAGCCTTTGTTTTAGGATAGGCCTTTCCATTCTGTAATTATGAATAATATATTAACTTTGTTGTCCTTGGAACGTAGGATGAGTACATGGATGTAAATGTAGGCAAGTTGAATTAAATGAGAACGATACCTTGTCATCGCCAAAGAACTCTCCCTCGGCAGTACTTGACTCGGCTTTCTCGCGTTTGAAGAATTGATCGTCTACGTCATTAAGCTACAATAACGAAAGATTGCATATCTAAATATCGAACTTGGTTCACCTGAATGTTTCACAATTCCATCAAATTGCAGAACAGATCCCATACCTTAACCGTTCCAATATCAACCTTTGTTGACGTAGCAACAACAAAAGCCTGATTCACTCTCCTCAATGGCACACCATTGATTTTATATGGTCCAGTCACCAACAACAAGCCCGATGTCAATTGCTTCAAAAACACAACCCTCTTTCCCCTGAATCGTCCTGCCAGCAAAATCAGAACCGATCCTGGAATGATAGTTTGCCTTAACTTTGTTGGCCTCGGGGTTTTCCTGCTAACCTTTAGTTTCGGCACATCCTCAGCCGGATAGTATTTAGGCGCCTTTTCCAATGGGATTATTCTTGTTTCGCTATTTTTTGGCCCGCCAACTTGGACCGTCTTAAACTTTTCAGCTTTGGCCTGTTCAGCAGGTTTAACTGCGATTCTCTTGCGTTTGTAGAGAGCTTTCTTTCTATACGTAGCTGATCGAGAATAACGAGGAATTCCCGAGACAAGGAAGGAATTACGCGAAGAGCGAGCCATCTCGAGGAATCAACTGCCACTAGATAAAGACAGAGGTTACAAGTAAAGGAGTCATGTTAATATTGAAGGATGAATAAGAGAATCCGACTTAAAATAAAGCGAGTGAGATAGGAAAAAGACACAATATGTGCGAGAACTTAAAGATAGGCAAATGGGATAATATTGTAATATCGAATGAAAATATGCTTGCGCGTTGGCTAAATCTAAGTTGATCGAGATATCAATAATCATCGTATTCAATGGTGATCAACAGTACGGTGTTTCATCCCTTGCTTTTTCGTTCTCTCCCACTAATGCTGTTATAGGCAAACATTCTTCTATTCAGGTTAAATTCCTTCCATAGTCGAGCTTATACAATAGCCCTAATTTACAGTATTTGATCTCGAATTCACATAACGCTCATTTCGTCGTTCTATCCCATATATCTTTGTCCGCCAACCATACTTTAGCTTCTCTTTTCTTTAATATTAGAACTTTCATCTTATATCGCCTCCCAAATACTCATTAGCTCCCAAACGTACCAAGACTTGCGCTTGCGGATGATATGAAAGAGGAGGGAAAAATCATGAAAAATTTTTACGGAATTTAAATTTGGGATGTTACGTTACACGACCGATCAAAATTTTGGTTTTTTTTCTTGCTTGGACAGAATTTAGAATTTCAAGTTAGAAAAAATAACATGGCAGACTATGATTTGACACCGCGTATGATACCCTATCTGGATAGACACCTTGTATTTCCGTTGCTAGAGTTTCTACAATTAAATGAAGTGAGTGTCGAATCCAGACAATTGAGAAATGATGTATTTGTTGATTTTCATGATGTTTACTATAACTTGTTATTCAATTCTTTAAGATTTATCCTGCAAAGGACTTGTACAAGGCAAAATATGATCTCTTAGCCAAGACGAATATGGTTGATTTTATAGCTGATTTGCACAAGGGAATCAACGAAACAGAGGAGACGCCAGAAGGTATTTCATTCTAAAGAATGTTCTGTTACTTGATCGGAAAATGTTCAAAAATGCGTCAGCTTTAATATGGATTTTCTTTCACCAGAATTCAGAAGTGCTCATATTTGAGCCAATGTATTTATTATTTGATACTCAAGCGCGTACTTCTTTCTCATTCAGAATTCACAAGAAAACGTGAAGAAGTCTTGCAAACTCTACAAGAATTCCAATCAGAAGCTCAAAAGGTCCTTGATATAATTGAAAATCCTGAAGTACTGGCTAATCTTCGGCAGGATAAACTTCAAAATCTACATTATTTAGAAAAAAACTTTGGGGTAGGTTTTCAGGATATTATGGAATCGCTTGGCAAATTACCTTCAACAGTAAGAAACTAACGATGGGTTCCTTAATGTTTAATACATGTCTTATAAAATCAGTTGACCGAGGAGATGGCTAATACGCTATATCAGCTTGCTCAATTTCAATACAACTGCGGAAACTATGGTGGTGCATCAGACATGTTATATCACTTTCGAATTCTGGTTAGTCGAAGTCATTGATCTAAATCTTCCTTGTTTCTTTTGCACATCAATATGTTAACGAGGTTGCCAAAAAGACTATTTAATAATAAGCATTTATATTACCTTGACTTGTTGACTTTTTCGCTATATCGCCCACTATTTGAGTGTATTCTAACGCGATTCTGCAATCTGGACAGTCAACAGACAACGAATTAAATCTTTCGGCATTATGGGGAAAGCTAGCCTCAGATATATTGGACGTAAACTGGGAAGCTGCTCTTGAGGAATTGCAGAGACTGAGGGAGACGATTGATTCAAGGGTAGGCCTAGGGCATATTTTGATATCAAATCAAACACCTTATACAATATATCTTATAGTAAACATTAACACTTCAATTGTAGCCCGTTGTTTCACCATTACACCAACTTCAACAACGAACCTGGTTCATCCATTGGTCAATTTTTGTCTTTTTCAACCATCCGAAAGGTCGCGACGACATAATTGATCTATTTCTCCAAACTCAGTACATCAACACTATTCAAACATCATGTCCCTGGATTCTTCGCTATCTTACCACTGCAGTGGTAACGAATAAACGCCGCAAGAACATTCTTAAAGACCTAATCAAAATCATCCAACAAGAATCATATGAATACAGAGATCCTATAACAGAATTCATCGAGTCGTTGTATATTAAGTTTGATTTCGAAGGAGCGCAGAAAAAATTGAAAGAATGTGAAGAAGTATTGCGAAGCGATTTCTTCCTAGTTGCTACGAAAAACGACTTTATTGAAAATGCGAGATATTTGATATCAGAAACCTATTGTAGAATACATTTGAAAATTGATATTAGGTAAGGGACACTCAACGAGAAGTCCTGTACGAAATCATCCTCATTATAACACACCTATATGAATTTGTTATACGGTTGTTATGTTTGGAATAGTAGTTCCATTATGAATTACCCGCCCAGCTATTTATAAGTTTCCTTTCTTTCTATTAACAGCGGACTGTCAAAAACGCTCAACCTCTCGCCCGAAGCAGGCGAGAAGTGGATTGTTAACTTAATCCGTGACACACGTGTCGACGCGAAAATCGATTTCAAGGAGGTAATTCGATGCAATATATATTCTCGGCTGCGATTCTGTTATTCTGGCTCCACAAATCTAACACTTTTTCTTTATTAAATGCATTCAGAATACTGTAGTTATGAACAAAATTCATACACCAATCTGTCAGCAAGTAATTGAACGAACGAGAGGTCTATCGTTTCGATCTCAGGTGCTAGCCTCAACTATCGAAAAACATGAAGCACAGAATGCTGCTGCCCTCGCTGAGACTGTCGTAGAATAAAGTAGATAAAAGTGGCTGCATGACTAATGTTAATTTATGACAGAGTAAGAGATATACTGAAAAATAGGAGAAGTGCGATTAAAAAAAATACATCTCGAAACTCTTTTGTATCACTCAGATCATTGACATAAGAGGGGGTGGGGATATTGGCTTGATGGCATTCTCTAAAGTAATCTTGTTGTGAAGTTTATAGACATAATCTGCGGTTGCTACCTGTTCTGCGGCATTTAAACTTTAAGACTCAATAATGTGTGGGGAGCTCATTAATAATTTATTAGTATAAATATTTCAGTATATTAAAATTAATTTTTAAAATACAATTAAGACGTCGACCTCCTAATCTCAGCATTTCATGAGTACGGACCAAAGAATCTCAATACTTGGTTTGCGTGTACTTCGCTGGACAATTTCATTGCATCACTCATTTCTGCAAATAACCGCTTAATTAATTCGCTTTCATTTGCTTCTAAAGGCGGATCATCAAACATGCTCCGTGCCTTTCTTATCTTATTCTTGAATACGTTCGAATTGTCATCCCGCTGCTCCGTCAACAAAGAACCAATGGATTAAATTTATTGTCAAAACTATAACAAAACTGTATTTGGGAATGCTTACCGCTGAAGTGAGATCATCCAATAGAGTACACCACTCTTGGGAATAAAGTAGGATAATGTCAGAACCACTCAAATGAAGAAAGGCTATAAGATCCAGAAACATTTCCCAATATGCTATGCCCTTTGGCTGAAAAGAAGATTATTGGGTGTAAGAAAGCTGGTCAAGCGATACATCATATGAAGACCTAAAGCTCATTTACCTCAACATCCTTATCCATAACACTGGATGTCAGCTGACTCTTCATTACAGGCCATATAGTATTCCAGAATCGTCTCTCTGCCATTGCCAAAGAGGTTGCAAGTCGTCGATGTAACCTGGGGGCAGCAATACTTTTGCTTTCATCGGTGCGCTGCGAAGCTTGAGCGCAGAGTATTGTCCAAATCTTAATAAGAATGAAAGCTTGATATGCTTGTTCCCCAGAAGGAGTGTCGATGTAGCTTTGATCTGGGTTAAGAATCTCATTAAATGGCGATTGCAATGCATTAGATAAGAGCTCGGAAATGTTATCTTGAAAGTCAAATATTGTAGTAATTAGACCGCTATTGTCTAGCTTTAGCATAGCCAAGAGAATCCAATTGAGAAGTCTTGTTCTTCGGGCGTCTACTGACTTTGTGACAAAATAAACAAACAAGATATGTACATTATTGACACGTTAAAGTCATCAGTGAAAACAATAAAAATAAAGCAGAACTACCTTTTGCCATAAGAATATCTTTTTCAAAAGATCATATTTCTTATTGCACATAGCTACAATTAATTGACTTGTACAAATTCCAATATTGAACTCTCTCTTTGAGTATTGTTTGGTAACTAGTGGATTCTCCAAAAAGTTTATACAGTCGTCAAAGATGCTGTCAGCTACGTTCACAAAATATGGCCTTCTTTGGGTGTCGTCTGATCCATTGACAGGATTTGCAGCCTTAAACTCTAACGATCGAAAACGTGGATAACTGGATGGTTGCAGGTCCCATAGTACAAGCTAATAGGTAAAGTGTATAGATATTAGTTATATCTGTCTTGGCGGTATTTAACGAAAGCTCAGATTCTCTGCTTACCTGAAGTAAAATCATAAACGTATTTACGTGCATGCGGTACTTTCCAGTTCTAAGTGCATATTTCAGTTCTTCTATCAGTATCTCGCCAAATGGATTAACAACATCCAAGTTCGTTTCTTCCGCAGCCAAGTTATAAGCGGACAAAAGCTTCACCATAACTTCAACAGTGATTGTACACTTATGAATCGCATGCCGTAACAAAGTTCTCACATGAAGCACTAAACTCTAATATGTAAATTTATGTTAATATTAAAAGCGATATTATTGGGATTGAGTAAGATAAGGAACATACCTTCGCACTGGCGGGGTTATTCCTTAATACGATTGCAGCAATGTTCAAGACAGGGTTTGCATCCCAGTCTGAACGTTTCCAATCACCGGTATGTTTTGACAATTTAGTAAAGAACGTCCCTAGATCTATTACACGTGTTAAGACATGATGACACGAACATATAATGAACACATTCTACAACAAAGTGTTTGTCATACCATTCAACAGTTGTTCGCTGTAGGGTTTACTATAAACAGACTCGACGTATTTGTTCATGTTGAACAAAATCGTAGAAAAGACTCTGCGGTTAGTTAGCTTGAATAATTGATTCATAACGTCTCTAATAGGCTGTTCTTTCAAATAAATGGGTCCATTGCTTTCATCTTCCGAATGTATAATTTCATTACCAATAACAATACGGAGGACCCAAAACATATCAAGTTCCGTATTGATACTGTCAGCTACTGCCTGATTCTATAAAATTGATGGCAAACGAGTCATAAGTACATGAATAACCAAAAGCATCAATCTAGTTTTAGTCAATTGAACCACGTACTTTCAAAATCAAGACAAACAAGCCATTCCTAGAGAATCTGAGGAAGGCGGTTTTCAAGAATGACTTGGCACTCTGCAGGATTTCATTCTGAGGATCATTCCTCAGCATAGTCATAAGCTTTCCCAAAGTTATAATCTGTTTACCTAAGATAGTTACAGTCAACATTGGAGCTCTTTTTAATAGACAAGCACACAGCTCTATGATTAGCTGCTTATTCTCCTGGCTTATATCCCTTGTTAACAGTTCTGACGTTCTTTTCATTGCACTGACTAATAACTCTTCCAAGTGCTTACTTCCCTTATCTTCAATTTTATGCTATTAGAAAGAAGAGGATTAATTGATGGGTTGCATTGAAAAAGAATCATCCGACTCGATATTTACCTTGTAGACAATTATAAGCAGCAACTCGAGGAAAATTTTAAGCATTATGTGATTAAGACTTGCCAGATCAACAGACGAACCAAATATTCTCAAAATAATATCTACAAAGTATCCACCGACTAATAGTTCATCAGTTTCGGTTGCAGTTCGACTCTCGTCAGTTAGTTCGTTTTCTTTATGAAGATAAATTGGTGTATCCATGACTTTCTTAAGATTGCTCAGTATTGATAGCATCCGCGTGTTTTGTGGGAAGTTATCGGGAACATACTCAAATTCACTGTGCAACATATAAATATCTCCATTGGCAAAATCTTGTTGTACTTCAGTGAATCCAAGACATGTCGCAACTACTTGTTTAAGTCTCATAAGACATTCTAGAGATATTTCAATACCATTTCCAAGCATTTGTAAAGCTAAATTGAGCAAGATAACCTAAATGCATGATCAAAGTATATGATATCGTGAATGTCAAATAATAGCATAAATAGATAGACAAACAAAGCACTTCAACTCTGAGGCTTCGCCAAACCTTTAGGTTATCACTTTCTGCAATCTTCTGTGCGTCAGTTATGTCTTCATCTTGAATCCGCTTTAATCCAATTACTAGAATACTATCTGGCCTCATGTAACTTTCCTACAATCATATCATTAGACTTGGACGAATCTGTGAAAAAGTAATCAGTCATCCTAAAAAGGTTGCATACCAGAATATCTTCCGTCGATACAGCTTCGATGCCGTCACTTTCCCCAAGCACTTTTAATAATATGTCCCATTCAATCACTAAAATAAAGGTCAATATCAGAACTAACCGATTGCATGAAATTTATGCATAAAATTAAGTATCTTACCTTGCCATGCTGGAAACTTCCCATTAAATCTAACCATAAACTTGGTTAGAATCATTCGTTCCCTATCATTTGCAGATTCAAAATATCCTTGCCAACATTTTAATGCCAAGCGTATGTGCGTCGGTTGCATTGATCTTATGTACGTACTCGCTTTTGTTCTCACATATTCCTAATTTAGTACACAATTTAGAATGTTGAAAAAATTTTATATCATTCTCATAAAACAAAATATATCCACAAACCTCTTGATCCCATAAACAAGCAACAAAGTAACTAAAAACAGGGCCTAACGAAACAAAAAGACCAGCATATTGCACATCAAGTTTCTCATCCAATTTTGAGAAGAGACCGTAAAGATTATCAAGAGCCTTATATCTATTGTAAAATAGAAAATGACTGAGAATATGAAGCATTTTCATAATTCAAAATATGCTCCAACGACATACCTTACTTCCCAATTAGTATGTTCAAAAAGATTACTAACAAAGCTAACGAAACGGCGTGTATCCAACCAGACCAGTTTCATTAGCATTTTCATATTGTACTCTGACAATACATCATGGCATGGTGTTAAAGTTTCCCATACACTATTTCACAAAATGGCATAAGTATTAAGAATAATTTCATATTAATAAACATCATACACATCTCACCTTGGTAATAGTGTTGATACACAACTAAGCATAAAGTCATCTTTATTATAAACTAAACCAGCCCGATTAAATAATCCCCAAAATGTTTTAACAACATCATTACATAAGCCGAGCTTATCAAAAGTTGCATATCGGAACAAGCGTTGTACTAAAGGTGTATCTTCGGTAAGGTTGGCTCCAGGTGTTGGATCGGGTAACGTTGATAGCCTCTTTTGTACGCTACAAACCATATAATAAGTCAGCTGGGCTATAAATCTACGTATAAATCCAGTGGATCACTTACCTTGTATTGTTCGCGGATGGAACTATTGTCGTTACAATATTCAATTCCGAAATAAAATCTAAAGGACAAGCATATGCGTACAGTGTCAAAACCAAGGTAGTCTTGATAAACTGCCTTGCACTGTGTAATAACAAAGCTTAGTTAGAACCGGTTGATGGATAAGCTCCAAACAAATTTAACCCGTCTTACACTTGAATGTCTTTGCCTTCTCCATCATTCTGAATCTTGCTGATACTTTCAACAGCTGCGTTATTCGTGGCCGTCACCAATTGTACTATCTTGCCACGATTAATGAGTGCTCCGTATCCGCGCAATACTTGATACCACATTAGCTTTAAGTAAAGTGCATACTGGCCAAGTGGAGGTTTCGTATTAGCCAGGTAGGGGAAAAAGTCCGAGAATATCGATTCAGGAAGACCAACACTGCAGTTGAAAGTAATGTCAATTTTTTAATGTCCAGAAATTATCGAGAAGATGACGCATGCTTACCCTCCACGAATAAGTACTTCCATCCAAGTTAAGGCCGACTTGAGGGAAGATACATCTTGCTCTACAAATAATTGTGTAAGCAATTGGAACGGTTCGGAAAAATCTGTTGTTATTGTGTCGGAAGTCAATAGCTGTGATGCTCTCTCGCTTCCACTCTCCCTACGTGTGCCCGCTCTAGTCGAAAAAACTTTTTGTAATGCTTTCAGGTCTACAAAAACCTAATACAAGAATATTGTTGGTAAACTCAAAGAAGAACTCTGAAAAAGAATATAATTATAAGCCTTACGTTTTCAGGTGGCAGATTCTTGAACACTTGATGAACTTGAGTAAACCATTGGTTCATAATATAATCCAGTGATGAGAAAAGAACGCCAGTGTTACCAAGCTTTATGATTAATTTCATAACTCTTTCTTGCTTATCCATTATCCCGCCCTGGAAATTTTAATTTATCATTATTACAAGTGAAAATGTATATTTGTAAATAGTTTGGATACATACCTTTGTGCTGATATCCTGTACAATACCAGGATGTGACTCTTCCACACTCAACAGCTGATTGTAAACCAAATCACAGAACAATCTAGGGTTCATATCATGAACAATATTCATCCAACCAAGGATATACTTCTCTTTCAGCATTTTTCTAGATTTTACGTATACACCGCCGCCAGCGTTTACATGATTTGATGTACGGCGCTGGTGTGGAGATTGGTCATCGTCCATCTCATCCCGAACACCCCTTCGAAACTCTAAGGACTCTTCGGCAATAATGAGTAACTTCTCATCTTCCTGACAAATCCAAACAATGATTGCCGCGATGAGTCGTTCCAATGTATACTTTGATAAAAATGGATCAGGCCAACATCTTTTTGTCAATAGAAGCATGCCACATTCATTAATCGATATGCTAATATCAGAAAGGCATACTGATATAGCAGAAATCAATGATTCAACATGGGGGGAGCATTCAATTGCAAAAGGTAAAGGAAAAATACACTCTGCTTCAGCTGCTGAATCGTTGTCAAAGAAAATGACTGGGAGTCCATCAATCCTCTCTATAAACCCGAAATTAGCCATTTGCTGAATAAAGACCTCCACTGTATATGTTCCTTTAAATGATAAGTTATTCCTCAACCATTTGACCATTTCTCCGGGCCAAATCACACCGGATAGACTATTATTAACTACTTGTTCAGGATACGTAGGTGCAAGCATATTCACACTTAACCGGTTACTATTATCATCTTGTATATCTGTGGTAATATTATGCTTCATCAAAGCCGCTAAATGTCCAATATAGTCTTCAGCCGAGAGTATCTGACTAGGATATATGCCAAAAACATCCCAAAACTCTTGTGACAATGGTGAGAGAGGAGGTTTCGTTTTTTCAAGATAAGATTCATATCGTTTAATAGTTTCTTGGAGTTCAAACTGTTCAAACTGTTCTGTTCTTGGTGAAAGTGGATTCGCAAAGTTCCCTCTCACAAACAAGCAACCTGCCAGTATACCATTCCTTAAAATATTCTCCTGCATGGTTAATATAGATAACATGACAGAAATTTCCTCGACACTGTAAGATGGGATAACGTCAAGAGGAACAAGAATATTTTCATAATAAGAAAGGAAACTATATCTCAGCTCCTCGTGTTCTATTACTGCATCAGCCTCACTCATTGCAGATGGTTGACATAATGATACAGCCTTACCAGCAGACTGTATACACTGGATATGAATAAATCTATTGCAAGATTTACATCGGTATCCTTGGTACATTACTCCCCATAATGGTTTATGGCATACCATGCATAAAACCAAAGTGAATAAGTTGACCAAAACAAGCTGATGTCCGCATACAGTTCTTGCAGTCTGCATGTTTTCGGGCTGATTGCGAAAATTTTGCTTGCGCGGAGACGCTACAATATCACAAAATCGTGGTGTTGACAGTTTGTGTATTCCTGACTGTAAAAGATACTCTTCAAGAATTCCACCATCTGTCATATTATAGCATATAAAATGAACATTAACGTGGCAGCCCCCACATTTAAGACCAAAATCATACACTGGTTTGAAACATTGTACACAACAATTTGGATTTTCTGTTGGCATAAATTGTCCATGAGTTTCGACTAATGATGTTCTTCTTGGAACAGTGAATGATTTGCGTTTACTGGTATTCATGGTTTCATTTTCTTTTGGAAATATATGCGATAAGAATCTGTGCAAAGCATCATCATTCTTCACCATTTTGGAAGGATCTGTTGGTTCAATATCTAATTTAGCGGCCAAATCGTCTGCGTAACTTATTTGCGGAAGTGGCTCTCCCACGGCTGGATGTCCAGTGCTATTGTTCCAGAAAAAGAACAGTACATTAATGGCTTGCTGTCTGCAACTTTCGTCACCCTGGGCAATAATCTCAATGATATCATAGTAAAGGTCTGGCTTGTGTTCGATCATTATTCCTAATGTCTGATGCATACGATAAATCGTCTCTAGCGATGAATTCTCTACACTTATATTTTGCAGCATTGAGTACAAAAGCGGCGTGAAGAGTGAATCGATGTAGTGTTCATCCATGCCAGACTCCCCCGAATAAGAGGCATATATATATGGAGATGATCGTTGACTGGTAAAAGATGGAGCTCTTGTCTCAGACAATATAGCCCCGTGATTGTCATCAAAGCTTGTTTTATCGGATGATTGAACGTTAATAATGGGAGTTTTAGTGTCTGCTGGATCAATTATGATCTGTATGTTACTGAGATTAACATCTTTATCTGCGAAAGAATAGTTGAATTTGGTTACGCAAAGATTTGTTAGTGACTAAACTGAACGTGGACGCAATTCTCTTACCATCAGCTATTTTGACCTTTCGCGCGCGCGGTGGCCCAAAATCATCAATCACTTTATTATCCATTATGGTAGATCTCGACGTCTGAGCTTTACAAGCCATAAGTTGTGGGATAAGTGAATTGCCGTAAAATGTCAACAACTTGGACAGCATTCCTTCCGAGAAATAGACAAACCCAGCCATCATCGTCGTCCCAAGTTCGTATAGCCATTTTGAAGAATATGGGTTCTGATCAATCAGTAGGATAGCGACGTCGATCACCTCTAATTGCAGTGTGTAAGGAGGTCGAGATGGTCGGGGTGACAGATTTTTATAGCGGCAATCGTTATAAATGATGTCCGATAAAATATCCAGTATGCGATCCAGCACAGCGGAGGCCTTCCCTCCGAATCTTGTTGGCGAAGGTGAGCGGGAACGGTTTGGTGAATGAGCTCTTGATGAATAGGGTGACTCTGGTGGAGTATTAATTGGTAATAATCTAATTTACAATCAATGGTTAATCAATTATTTGTATAAAAGTTTATCAATTCGGCTGATTTGACTGACCTATTACCAAACTTTATATCATGTTCTGAACAAAATGCTAGAACGTCTTTCAACTGATTGACTAATTCACATGTAACATCATTGTTAAAGCTGCTGTTGTGCTGTTTGTTTACTTTTACATTCTCGCCAAATTCATACAGCTCCAGGTCTTGAAAGGCTGACGGAGGTTTCTTCCTTTTCCTCAAATTTTTTAGAATTTCATTAATAAGTTTACGTGTTTGTTCAGCTTCGGGAAGAAGAAAGTTTCCCTTTTTTTGTGATTTTCTAAGTGTTGTATTGCGCTTTGATGCTACATCATTATATGAGTATCCTTCCATGATTCATTAATGATATAAACAATAAATTCTAACGCAAAATGATTAAAGTAATCTGATGTGACGCAGGCAGATCTTGCCATATTCGAGAATGATAAATTTCATTGCGAAAAACATTCCTTCATATTAATATTTATCAATGTCTTGGACTAGGTCGATTTTAACTTTATCATATGCAACTCGTTTAAATCGCTCTTTTAGTAATGGTGCAAAAGTGAGGTTTTATGTAACAAGATCCGTAAAACAGTTAAAAGACGAACATGTTAATGAAAAAAAGTCGATAGGTTCTACTACAACCGTATCTACATCTATGGCATCAGCGTTCAATAACATGTTTGATGACTCGGCCACTCGATCTGTTACTCTTGTAAAGCAGATAAGAGATGATGGTTTTTTGCTATCAACTGGTGTGCGATTGTTTGGCCCGGTGATTTTGTTAAATGGAGATGTATTCCTATGGGACGTTCCACAAAACAGCAAATTGTCTGATGAATGGAACGTCGATTTTATGAAAATATTCGACGTGATTGTGCCAAAACCTGGTAAGTTTCTTTCTACCTAATTTGTGTAATATTATATAAGGCTATAACTTCTGGACGGCTAATGATGTAGTTGTGATATAAGAGCTATTAATCATTGGGACAGGCAAGTCAATCGTTCCAATTGCTCCAAAGATCAGACAATATATCCATAAATTGGGGATGCAGATTGAAATATTGGATACTGTAAGCGTTATACTTGAATGAAATCTTTCTTTTGAATTGATTATCTCGGTGATAGCAAATAATTTCTATTCTAGAAAAATGCATCGTCGACCTTTAATGTTCTTACTGAGGAGGGACGCAGAGTAGCAGCAGCACTATTACCATTAAATCCAACAAGTGCCAGAACTGGTAAGGCGCTTTGATCTTATGATTTGTCTTAACAAGTTGAATAGCCATATGAAGATTGTGATGGTGAAAGCAGGTAAAAAGAAGTTTATTAAAATCAATCAATTATATAAAGTCATTTCTATTTACTTATATCATTAAGAATTTTATAAAGAGATATGCACTAATTAGTATGTACTCTTTCTATTTCTGCTGTAAACATTAAATAAACGGCATGCATAATGTTTACTGACACGTTCAGTTTACACATGCCCTAACTATACTGCTATGGCTCGTAGCTCGATTCAGGACGTGTTTAATGAGTTATAATGAGCCCCTAGTCCGTACATATACTTGTGATATGAAAGAAAGATTGGTTCTCTATCTCGAAACTCATCATCAGAAAACTTCAACACAGGAGCATCCACTTGTACGACATGAATAGAAACTTTGTACAGTTTTGCAATCGCTGAAATCTAATAAAATTTAAATTCATGTTAGATTATATATCAGCCAGTTGTCTGAATATGTTGCATATCATACCTCTAGATCTCCACCCCAGACTGCCGTGTTCTCTATTCCATTGCAATACTCTTCAAATTGTTCTAACGGATTAACTTGTTAAATAAATGTTTGTAATTCAAGTTTATTTCTTTAAAAGTTACCTTTGCTGCAAATTTCCCCTGTCTGCGATGCCAAGTATGGTAGAAAATCGTCAGAATTTTCGCGCATATATGTCGCCACTTTTCCCCGAAGTTTTTTGTAATCGATCTGTCGAGAAAGAGATAATAAATTAAGCTTGCATATAAAGAAACTCTAAATTATGAAACTACTTACAGGAATGTTGTGTCGTAAAAGAAGCTGATCTGAAATTGCATTATACAAGCTGGTAGGATAAATATTGAATCAATATCAGCGAGATTAGAAAATAGATTGAAACAACTAATAAACAACACTTTAACGCCTACCAATGGCCATTTGGTGCAATCTACACGTCAGATCCATATATAAAGAACTGTTACACTATATGTAATTCTCAATCGCACAATCATCTGGTATTAATCATATTAATCACAAACCTCTTTAATAGTTAATCCCATGCTTTTTGTTAACTCTGCCATGGCATTTTTCTCAATTTCTTGTTTATTCACCTGGTCAGCTGCTTCATCCGAATCTTGATCTTGCATCTCTAAGCGTCTACGCTCCTAATTCAGACAAGCCAATGATTTAAGGGGTTAGGCCATTCATTGAACGTATCTTGTTGGCATGGATTTGCGCATGTTTAAAAAACGGTATACCTTACGTCTTTGTTGACGATTTGGTTTTTTCTTTCTATCTTGCTGAGGAGGAGATGCAGGTTGTTCTGGTGGCTCTTCTACTTGCCTAGCATTTATTCTGGCCAACAGTATATCAGCAATATCCTCATTTGATTCATCTTGATCACTGATGTTATCCTGTGAGCAAGCAACAGTCATAAGCGGAACAATAATGACCAACAGAAACGTGCATTGTTTAACTACAAACCTCTTTCTTCAAATCATTGCTTTGTTCATCCATGACTCCATACTTAATTTGATGTTCCTTTATTTCCTGCTCATGTCTTTTTTGAAGATCACTTTCCAACTTGGCAACTTCAGATTGTATTTCTTTTTTACGCTTCTTGTTCCTTTTTGTTACAGACTTTTTCAATGCTGTTATGCGGGACATAAGTTGTTTACGTTCATTTTTGTGTCGTGAAATTAAGTCGTCGTAACTCTCTTCAATGGGCGTAGAAGAGGAATTGGTTTCGTCTATAACGGATGGATCTTGAGTATTAACTGGTGCAAACATATTAATATTAGGGCTTTTTTTTATACAAGTGAATCAGAATGTGCAGAGAATTTTATCAATCACATGCACATGCCAATCGATCATTACTGTATTATTATTATAGCATTATGTGAAACATTAAATATTTTCATTACAGAACTCTTTCAAAAAAGTCATTACTATTACTTTCGTTTTTGTTACGTATGATAAAGTTAATAAGTATATGTTTTGCAAATGGGCCAAGCATTTCGCTAAATTAAAATAGTTGCTTAATCTCATAACCTGGACTGCGGGCTACTCTCTGAAACTGTTATAATGTATTCACTTAGGGTGGCCCTCATGCGCGAATTGTATGTGAGATAGCCTTGGCCCAAAGCACC